TTCTAGGTGAGAGACTTCTGAAGATGGCTTCACGATGTAATGGTCAGCCCTCTAAAGAGGATTTCACGAGGTTACTGTGTTCAATAGTTGCTTTTTGCCCGTCAAGTTCTGTGGCAGGGTTTTCAATTTAAGAATTACTGTTTTTTTTCCTTAGTGATTATAAGCTTCAGCTCTTCAAGCTCCAGAAATCTTTCAGATTTTGCTTCATGTCAGTGCTACGGATTCTCGAGCAAATACTGTCACTAATATCTTGACCTCACTGACTTCACTAAAAGCTGCACTTCACATCCTAATGCCTACAGTTCTCTGTAAATGCATCTATCCCCTTCCCTGCCAGCGGGCAGGTAACTGTCACTGCTTACTATAAAGCATTTACAGGGAGCGTAACTGATTCTTAAGCTGGCTGCTCTGTGTCAGTGAGGCAGCATGGATGTGGTACTTCATTTCCTTGTTTATCTCTGGTGGTGAAGGGTGCTGTAAATGATGTCGTAACTCCTGCTTTTCTTTTCATGCTTGTGTTGCTTGAAGGTTTTCTTACCTTCAGGCTTCCAGTTAACTACATTAAAAGTGGCATTGCTGCAAGATTTAGATGGAACAGTGATTGTTTAGTTCTGGTTGACATAATTTTAGTCCTTTATTAATTGCTCAGTTCAACTTTTGATGCAAATATTGACAGGATGTGAGAGCTTCCTCATGCGGTGGAATGCGTGCTGCAGTTAAGTTTCTTTGAAAGTGTCACAGCTGTACAGCCAGGAGTAAGAGAAGTGGCTTTCCTATCTGACCAAAATGTGACACTAAAGTACATGCAGCTGCCAGTCTGTTTCTCTAACACTTGGTGGCTAAGCTTGGCTTGTCTCAATCCTGAAAGCCTTGTACTCCTGTAATAATATTGCTTTGATTGCGTTGATGTTGCTAGAGTAGCAGCTACTGCCATCCAATGGGAATGATGTGGAAATCTACATAGTGAGCTTTCACTTATGCGTTTCAGAATAACGTGGCCACTTTTAATGTGCTTTTATTTGAAATAATTTGTCAGATTGCTCAGATTATCCACTCTGTCAAAGTGGAATTACTGCTCATAATGGCAATTTCCCCAACACCTGTTCTCTTAAATCGTTCACTTCAGATTCTTCAAATATTCATGCCATCTTGGTTTCCTTCACAGACAGAAATCAGAGCACTTCTTCTTACAGTAAGATCTTATTGCTGAATTTGTTAACCTATAAAATGTTGGAATAGATAAAGGAAACTCACAGAATAATACAGTTATGGCTACAGATGTCCCATAACTTAGTAAGTGTAGCTTTTCTTTTTCCTGAAATGACTCTTTTAAATTAAAAACAATTCCCACCCTCCCAAATTGCCCATCCTATGAGTTTGGGGAACTCTTCTGAATGTACTGAGGGTTGCACTTCCCTAGAAAAGCTGTTACCACTTCAGACAGTGGGGAATGTGTTTGGCAATTCACACTCCGTTGTGTCAGTCCATGGCTTGTCACAAAAGCAGATTTCAGTCTCAGATTCTGTGAAGCTTTTAATTGATTCTGTTGTGTAGAATGTGATTACATAGTGGTTTTGAATGATTAATTATTGTTCTTTTTTCCAGCTGGGATGAATGGGTTCCAGAAAGCAGAGTGCTCAAATACGTGGATACCAATTTGCAGAAACAAAAAGAACTTCAAAAAGCCAATCAGTAAGTGTTTTTCCTTAGAAGTTGTTCTCAGCAGAATCATTTGTTCTGTAGAACTTCAATCTAACTGCTGCATATTAGAGGAGGTTGGTAAGTTCAAAACAAACAACTCACAGCAGATGCCTTCAAGAAGTATGAGTTTCTCTTTTTATTCTGGAGGTGCTTTGGCTTAGAGGGATTCTGATCTTTGTACTCCAGAAGCTTATAGAGTGAACTGCTCCTTAGTTTTCAGAGTAGGGCGATGAGAGCCAGGCACACTGACTAACTGGAAGCATATTCTGTCACATGGAAATAAGGAGACTAAAAATGACCCTCCTGCAGTATCCTTAAGATGTATTTTTAAGCAGTGAGGATGGTCTTCCTAGGAAACACTTAACAACTCCAGACTTGGTCCGAAGCAACCTTTTTTTCAGTATATGTGTTATTTTTTTAGCAGAGGTTAGCTGTTGTTTCCAGGTCACTGGGTAACAAGGATTGAGGAGGTGTAAATGGGAGTTCATGCCTTGAAAGGTTTGTTACATGAATAAGCTTAAGAACGTCTTGCTGTTTAGTTGCACTTGTTCCTTCTTTGTTAAATACTGTCTCTGATTTACTTGCTAGCAGTTCTCTAAATGATTTGTGTAACTGTTTACCTTTTGAGGGAAAACAAGCTGCTTTTTCAGGTAGTCTTATTGCCAAATTTATTCTTTTCAAAGGGAACAATATGCAGAGGGGAAGATGAGAGGTGCTGCTCCAGGCAAGAAGACATCTGGTCTGCAGCAGAAAAATGTTGAAGTGTAAGAAACTTTTCATTTAAAAACCAAAACCAAACTGTTGCTTAGAATTCTACTGCTGATCTTCAAATGGTATTTCCCTACGATTTGGCCTCCGTTCCACTACTCCCCACACAAGCTATACAGGTGTTTACTTTTGTGGTATCTGAAAGGCCTTTGGTGAAGTACTGTACTGAAACCATCTTCTAAGATGGAATGGTGCTTAATATTGAGTCAAGGTACTGAATAGGTTGGATGTTAACAATTTATAGTTCCTCTTTTGAATACTATTCCCCTCAAGTTAGTGAACCGACACTCAAATGTGGGAAGCTCCCTTAAGACTTGTTTATCTTGGTCAAATTGAGCAGAATTGTTTAGTTCTTCTAAGGAGCCCAAGCTCTGACACAGAAAAATCCTTAAAATGCCTTGCCCTGTTACTGTGCAGTTATAAATTTGCATTTAGGAAGCCTTTATTTTGTTGTTTTTTGCCAAATCTAAACACACATGCTGTTAAAATGCTTTTCCACCTTAAGAGACCAGAAGCAAGCTCAGATGTTTGTCAGGAGAAAAAATACAAAATGCAACTTTCAGTTTTCTTTCATTTCATCCTTTTTGTTTTTTCAGAATAGGCTTGCATGGCCTTACTCTTAGGTTCTTACAGTCAGTACAGCTCTGCTTTGCTCATGTGCCATGAAACTCTTCTGCTGGAGTAGTACTTGACTTGTTTAATTGTGAAGGTGCTCATTACCAGCGTCATGTTTTGAACTCCTAACTTCATTTCTGATTCTGATCTTTGAGGAAGCTGCTGAGATGGCATTGTTTCCTAGGAGAATTTGGCTCGCACTTCATGCCTCCTTTAGGGGCAGCTTTGTGTTACGAAGTGTTTCATTGGTTTGAGAAGTGCAGTGGCAGTGGATGAAGGCTTTGTTGCTGTAGGTGCCGAGCGTAGATTTAGCTTTGGAGTTGGCCGAGGCCCAGCCAAGGCTGTAAATTGTCTCTTGGTTTTTGGAATGGAGTTTCAGATGGATCTGGTCATAATGCTGCATATACTCCTTGTCTACTGCTGCAGGTTGTGAGGTACCTTAGCTGCACTGGTTTTGTGTGCTTTCTCAGCTTGGGATGGGCCTCTACAGAGTTCCTAATGGATGTCATTATCAACTAATGAAAGCATCTAAATTGTGATAGTTACTAATGGGGCTACTTGAGAGGTGGTTGCACTTGAGTCTATTTGCTTTTTAGTCACTGGAAGTAGAATTAATTCTTTAAGCTGGGAAGCGATGGCTCGATCGTAAATGTTTCCATGACTACCGAACGCCTTGCAGAGGAGATCTCAGTAGTGCTTCAGGACTGCATTCCCTGTGCTATCAGCTTTGGTCATGTTAGAGGTGCAGGCTGATTGCAGTGGGTTGCTTGATTTTTTTTTTTTTATTATTATTTTTTTATTTTTTTTCCAGCTGAAAAAATGCTGAATGCTCACCTGCACTTGAAAAGCAGTAGAATTCAAAGTTGTCTCAATTCTCTCAAGCACATACAATAATGCTAAATCTGAGATAGACTGGCACAGCAAAAAGGACTTCATCTTAAACTTCTGTCCAATTCCAAAGCTCAAAAGCATGTTACCACATCTGTCTCTTCTCTTCAGTTGAAACCAGTTGGGTGAAGGGAATGGCTTTGCTTTTTTCTATTGTCACTATAGTAAGCATGGGGGATTGTTTCTCATGTAGAAAAACATGCAAAACTTTTCGTGGTGACTGGAAAAATTAATTTCTAAGTGGTGGATTATTAATGTAGTGAAGGGGAAGAGGGAAAACTGGTCGCTGGAACAGCAGTCTTCCGATGTGAAAGATAACAGGGTCTCATGCTTGTTGCACTGATCTTGCTCCTAGTCTCTAGCTATTACCAGCATCCTTCTAAATTAGACCTGGTTCTTCCAATAAAGTCTCCCCATTTTTTCTTCCCTGTCTGGAGGCTGAGGGAGAGGCAATGCTTTGACCTAACCTAGCAGTGATGCAAAGTTGTAATGCTGCTGTGTTGTTGAAAGAGCCACTGCTGCTTGTGTTCTGCTTACAACTAAAGGCAAGATGGCTTCTGAAAACCAAAACATCTGGAAGTAGTTTGAAAACATCGGGGTTATTCTGATGTAATTCTAAGGTCTTTGCAGGTACATGAAGTATTGTTGGTGGGGAGGGGGAGAAACCAATGAGCAAATATGCTAAAGAGGGTAACCCTGACAAGCGATTTGGCCTCAAAAGTTACCTTTGTAGCATTCTTGGAGGATTGAACAGAGGGAGAGAACTTGCTAATTTGTTCCTCAGCCAAACTGTAGTGAGAAGGAGATAACAGTCCAAGAACAACTTATCCTCCAGGAATGCTCAGTAAATCTATAATGTACTGCTAGAAAGGTAAATTTTTGAATCTTAAATAGATCCTCTTGAAGGCTGAGCACTGGGTCTGACATTCTTTCCTTAACTCAACCCCCATTGTGCCTAGATTTTTCAGACGAGATGGAGCGCATACTGTTTGCTGTTTGGAGACCCCTACCATATCGACGCGGTGAGTTAAGGATGGATTGTCAAACCAGGATTTTCATCCTGAAATCCAGACCTCCTTGCTTTCATAGATTTCTTTAAGAGACTCTTAAAGTCTTCAGTTGTAATAATGTAAGCTTTGGTAGCAATTGAGTTAACGATTCTAAGTACTGCAGTATGTTGTTCTTTGTGTTTTAAAGCCAGTGTGGACTGATGGTTTTTAGTTTCTCTGAAATGCACACGTCTTCAGGTGGGGAAGGGCATGCTGTGGGTAGTCAAATGCCTTCAGTCTGCTAGTTAATATTTGGAAGGTAACTGATGTCAGTTTTAAAACTGCCTGGTTCTAGAAGTTTACAGTTGCTCTGCATGCTTACTGTATCCTGGAGCCGTGGAAATCGCTCCAAACGGTGCTGTTCTGTAAGACCAGAGAGCTGGGCTGTGGCGACCAACTGTTACAAATGTGAGGACTGATCCTGCCTTTTTAATCTGCTCTGTTTTTGTCACTGGCTTGAATCTGTTCAGAGTAACGGTTCCTGTAAACTGCAGCAATGAGTTGAAAACGGCTTTTAAGGCTATTAATAAGCAATATTTAATCACATAGAAATATGCATGAAATGCTATTTGTACACAGCTGTTTTGAAATTAATTGATGGTTTTGTATTAATTAGAAAAACTATCATAAGCATTTGTGTAGTTACAGTGAGTTTTGAAAGGTGAAGTACAACACTGCAGATGCTGGCTTCCTCAACCTGTGTCATGTATGGTGCTGCTGAACAACAGCTTCTAAGAACATGAGCTGGTTTTGATGAGCGTGGTGTGATAGAAAACTGTTAGCCTGTGCTTAGAAAGTAAGAAGGGCAACCTGAAATATTGGAGTGACAACATGGCCCAGGCTTACAAAAAGCTTCTGGGCTTTTTTTACTGAGGCATTTACAAGCAGTCTCATCAGAGATGCTTTCAAAACAGTATCTCAACTGAAACATGGAAGTTATTGTCATTCCTTCTGACAGAAGTCCTGTTCTTAAGCTGAATACGTCACTTAAAAACGCGTGCTCTGGCTGCATGTCTTCTGTGGCATCCTTTACTACCACTGGCACAACTAGCAGCTCTTACAAAAGCTACTCTCAGTCCTCTAGGTGCCAGGTAGCTTCATGCCACTGCCTGCGTGCCAGTTGTCTGAGCACTGTAATGGAATGTGAGCTCCAGTGGAGATCTTCCTAACCTGCTCAGCTGCCTGGTCACTGCGAGGTGTACTTAGGGACAGGCAAGTGACTCAAGTCTGTGAGGTTTTTCTACCAAAAGATACCACTTCTGCTTCTATCAGTCTAATCAAGGAGCTTCAAAGCTCCAACATGTCGAGGAGTCCTAAATCCACCACACTTAGAACTTGTGAAGCGATTGGGCTTCTGGCATCCACACCATTCAGTGGTAGGATGCTTCTCCTTCAAATTCAGTGCTGTGCTGAGGAGGGGAGGAAGGAGGAGGGCTATTCTGTCACTCTTGATGTCTGCTGCCTGGGTTTTAAAGTCGATTTCTTTTTTTTGAGGAAAGAATAATTAATTCTTCCAGCTTCATCCTTTATCTCTAATGATACCTCTGTAATATTTCTGCTTTTCTTTCTGCCTAGTGGTTCCTCTCAGCACAGAACCCAGAGGTGCATGTAGTTCTGACTTGGGTATTTATACTTTTCCTGATAGTGTTGGATGCTTTAATTGAATTTTGGTAGGAGTGCTGTTCCTCAGAGCCAATTCAGTGACCGAGCTGCTTGAGCAGTGGAAGGCTGGCAGGCTCTTTCCAACGTGCTTATTTTCCATACTTGGTTGTTTTCACTTAAGGTCTTTATTACCATTCACCTCCAATCAGGAGAGACTTTGAGATTTTTTTTTTACATCTTTGTCATTGTATCCTGAGCAAACTGGCACCTCGTTCATCTTTTTGTGGTGCTCACAAATGTCTTAAAGCTCAAATCCCTGAGACCCACGTGTAGCCCACCTTCATTCTGCTGCTTGTATCTTAACCAGCTGTTGTAGGGAGGTTCTAACGGACTTCTGTGTCCTTTTAGAACACGTGAGGATTTGGGGAACGTGGAGCACTTGTAGCTGTTTGTGAAACTTTAAACTAGGTGGTCATAGACTCCTCCCTCTTGTGGAGCATGCACACCTTGCAATGTCTTGGTTTTTTTCCTGAACTCATTAGTCTGTGTTGAATTCTTTTGTGAGCTGCTCTTGTTTTCTACTGACATCTGACTCCAGAAGATGCCTTCATAGATCTGAGCACTAATGCCTACTGTCCTGTGCACAAACTGCTAGCTACTTGAGGCGGTGTCCAAGGGCTGTGACAAGTACTTGGGTATCCTTGTTCCGACGGATGTTTGGAAGGGTGAGGTGCAGGCATTCAGCATATGCTCTTCTCTGGCAGCCTCCTTAGTTGCACTTACCATTTGATTGTACATCATCTTGTTTTGGATACTGCAATTGAAAGTTCAGCATTGTGCTGGGGACTACTTGTTTTCCTTCCGAGTCTCACCCTTGACTTACAGTACTTAATTGCATTGAGCTGTTTTGTAAGCTGTAGTTGTATTCATTTCCTGCTGATTGTCTTGTTTCTGTGCAATTGCAGATCTTGTAATGTCAGCATCTTCACTTGATGATTGGCTTTCCAGTTCAGTGTCATTTTTTGATTACTCATATTGGAGTACTGTGGATGTAGGGGCCTGTCCTCATTTGGCTTAATCAAAACCCTCCAGTGAGGTCTGGGTTTCCTTCCTCCCAGAATTCCCATTGCTGACCTTGCTACTGCTGCTGAGGTAATGTCAGACTACAGTAGGCTACATCCTTCAGGTTTGAGCTGTGAGGTCTTTAGCACCTGGCAACTCTCTGATCAGTCTTAATTAAAACTTTCCACTGGAGCTTCCCTGGCAGTTCCCTGTTGCTTCTTAGTTTTATTGTTGGCTAATTCTATATGGAAATGCTGTTCAGTGGTGCATGTAAACTTGCAGCCAGGCTGTACTTTGTACATGAAGTCTGTCAAATATCTCATGCTGCTGTGCCTGTGTTTTTGGGCTTGTTCATCATGCGTGAAGTGACACAGAAGGATGTGCTTTAGGCTGTGCCAGCTGTATTTCATCTTTTTGTATCACTTCAGGACTTGAATTCCCTTGCAGGAAATTGTTGTCTGCCATCACGAGGAACATATATGGCGTTCTTCAGCTGTGTCTCAATGAGTCTGCTTAAGATATGCTGCTCCTCCTAGATTCCAGGTTCTCTCAGTAAGGCTGTCTGCACCGCCTGTACACAAATGCTGCATCTCTCTCCTGGATACTGAGTGCACTGCATGCTTAAGATACTCCACAGAAGCATTTGTCTTGCACAGCTGTTCTAACCTAGTGAAAAGTTACTCCAGACTGTCTGCTGCAGGTCTGCCAAGTGCTAATGCTTTGTCTCTAACCTGAGATTTTTGTTTGTTTGCTAACTGAGATTTGTCTTTTAGACTGCAAACAGATGGCTGCTTTGACTTGGTGCAAAGGTGTATACCTTGAGTGTAAAGAATCAGGAAGTAAGGAAAGAGGTGGGAGAGTACAAGCGCCTGCCCAGAGTGGATTTATGCTAGACTGTGTGATTCAGTAGCATAGCTGTGGTGTATGTCTTGATTACAGTATTTCTTAAAGTATTTTATACGGCCTGCCTACACCGGTTTGCTAAGACTCTGCTAGCCTGATGCTCTAAAACTATTTTTATCTTGACAGTAATTCTCAAAAGAACTCCATCTCTGCTTGTTCACTCCAGGTTTCGAAGAAAAGACTCTCCTCAGTGCACAAGTCCTTTGTCAGTGACTTGACTTGGCAGTTGTTACTTCTTCCTGGAGAGAGAGGGGATCTTTATTCTACCCACAGTTCTTTTTAAGCCTAATGATTGTGATTTGAAGCCCGAAAAAGGTGTTACTCTTCTGATTTCAGACCTTTCTAGAGACTCTGCCTGCTTGCTGACCCAGATCACCCAGCTCAGAGGCTGGCCACAAATGTCACTTAACGTGGTGATGAGGTTTCCAAAGAAATAATGATGTACTGCTATAAAGCTTTATCTCATGACCTGGGATCTTGCACACAGAAATTTTTTTTTTACTTTGAGGCATTTAATTGGATTCCCATTAATAATAAACAGGTGGGAACATGGCTGGTAATGCTCTTAGTTCCAGCTTTCTTACTAAATGAATAAAATCAGTGAACATACAAAGTTCAAATAATGAAAATCTGCTAGGACACTTTAATTTGTTTCTAATATCTCTTGACATATCTGAGTATTTGCATAGAGCAGGCATTGCATGCCAGGTACTCTTTAAATGTTTGCAAGTTAGCTTCCCAGTGTGGCTGCTTGGAATAGAAATGGAGGTTAAGGCTGGAGGACTGAGGGAAGACTGAAGGATGTGTGGTAAAGTTTGAGAGCAGTATTTGGAAGAAGGTAAATATTAGGAATGCTTCTATTCAGTATGGTTCCAAATGTTACAAGTGAGAGCCAGGTGTAACTGTGATCTCCCCTGAACTTCAGTGCCATCGTGGGCGCTCCATGCGACCTGGTGCACACAGTGAATTCTCATGGTGCTGTTCAAAGTTCCTTGTGCTGCTGCAGTGCTAAAATTGTTCTTCCAGTGCTCTACAGGAGAGTCAGTTGGCTGAGATGCCTGATTCTTCCCTGCCCTTCATTCTGTCTTTAAGAGATCTCTGAAGTACTGAAATAACACCTCTACAGGCATTTGGGAAATACAAAATGTTTGTGGATGTTCCTTGGTGATGATGGCCAGGAGTGCTTTAAGATGCTTGATTTTTGCAAGCACTCATGGCCTGTCTTCTGGATTGCTGTAGATTTGAGTTGAATTAATCCCCCCAAAAGTGAATGCTACCCTGTGTCATAGAAAAACCTTGACGCATCGGCACTGTGGTGGTAAATAATCCCTGGCAGTTCTCCTTTTGTTGTTTTCTAAATGCTTTGTAGGCCTCTGAGTTTGTGGGTCTGAACTTACTGTACTTTTTTCTGGCTTTCAGTTCATTCAGTACTTTCATCTTTATGTTTGCAATAATTTGTGTTCTTCATTGCAGGAAAACAAAAAAGAACAAGCAGAAAAGTAAGTACACCTTTATTCTGTGTGTAAGTGGATATGCTTAGGGAAGGATTCTTAGCTGGAATAGGACCTTAAACCTGCCCCTGCTGAGTTTAGTTCCTGCACCTTACGGTGCTCCTCCTGGACCTCAGGTGTCTCTTCTGTAAAATTCCCTAGTTAATAAAATAGGGATGTGTAACTTGCTGCCTTGTCATGGGCTGTTCCAGCCTGTCAGGATTTAGACCCTTTGGAAGCAGAATGTAAGGTGGTATCCCCACTAATCTGCTGAAATAATTCTCAATAGTAAAGTCCCACTTCAGTTTCCTTACCAAGATGGGACGTGCTTGCACTGCTGATTGCTGGTTCCAGAAGGTTTCTTCCAAAGAGCACTGGATATGCTTTGTTCTTAGTGCAGAAATCTCCATCTTCACATACATGCGATGTAGCAGTTAAAACACAGACATGTGATGTGCAGTTAGTTTTGAACAAAACCACGTGAAAGGATATTTGAGGGAAATCTGAATACTACTTTTAAATCCTAAACATTTCTTTTTTATTGGTATTTCATATGACCAGACTTCTTACCCAGCACGCTGTCTTTCTTCTGTGCAGCTCCTGGAATTGGAGAAGGGAGCAGTAGCAGTGAGACTCCTCAGCCTCCTAGGAAGAAGAGGGCACGAGTAGATCCAACAGTCGAAAGTGTATGTGCTTATGATTCTCCTGCAGGATTCTTGATGGGGAGCAGAAGAGCTGCTTTGCTCAGAAATACAGACAGCAGCACTTGGTCCTGCAGTGTGAATTGTTACGACTTTGTGAAATGCGAGGCCTGCTGGGTGGCCTGAAAACCTGAGCTATTTCCCTGTTCCCCTAAAGGCAACTCAGCAATTCCTTACTCCTGTAGTGTATTTGCTTTGTGGAAAGGATGGGATGAGTGGCTTATCTTGGTTGATTATCTGAAAGTAAGTAGTGTGAATCCACTTCTTTGTTCTAGGAAGAAACATTTATGAACAGAGTTGAAGTAAAGGTGAAAATCCCGGAAGAGTTGAAACCGTGGTTGGTAGATGACTGGGACTTGATCACCAGGCAAAAACAGGTGACTTTGGACAGAGCAGCCTGTCAATGTGTGGGCAGGGACAGTAATCAGGAATTTTGTATCTCGTTTGAGTGCAGAGCAGCAAAGTCCTCAGAGTTCAACAGAAGCCTTTCTGGACGGTTCTGATTGCAGTTGGATTTTACCTGTGCAGCAGAGCTGCGTGTGAGTTTGTAGAGTGTAATCAGTCTAATTGGACATAAGCTAAAAGTCAACTAATTTTAAGTTCTGTGGTGTTCCTCTAATCATGTTTGGCCTGTTGGAACGCTTTGAGGAGTTTGCTTAGGTGACAGAATTAGTCTGTATGAGCATTGCAGGTGATGTCTTACCTCAGTTCCATCCTGTCTTATTTACACATCATTGTGAAAGCATTTCAGGCATCTACAGCTCTGACAGAAAGCAGTCTTAGAATAGTGATTGTTAACTGTGCTGCCAAGCTGGATCTGCGTAAAGCCTCTTGATACAGTAATTTTACCTAAAATAAACTGTCTTCCATTGTAAGAAATATTATCTTTTTTCAGGAACTTGTTAGTGAGTGAAACTACTTTGTATTCTTCTTGCCAGTTTTACTAAGTGTTGTTGAAAACTGTTGGCCCCAGCAGGTGCCCAGCAGTCTTGTTTGCTTCCAGTACCAGTATTGGGTGCTGACCTGTGGATGCACTTTACACCTTAACCTAGAACTTTGTTCTAGAGATTTCCTTATGTCACTGTAAGATAAGCACGCAGATAGAAAAGTCTGTGTAAGTTTGACAGTTTGTATTTTCTGTTTTGTTTTTTCCACAGCTTTTCTATCTTCCTGCCAAGAAGAACGTTGACTCTATTTTAGAGGATTATGCAAACTACAAGAAATCTAGAGGGAATACTGATAACAAGTAGGTAGCAGTCATTTCAGCTCTCGAATATGTCTCCCTGTTGTTGGATTGCAAGTTTCTTCATGAACAAGAGAAGTTGTTAAACACATCCCAGTGCCAGGGGGGTCCAGGTCTCCAAGGACACGATTCAAGAGCACTGTCCTACTTCCTGAACGTTTTCTCTCTCCCTGGCACTCTGCCCTGCCTGACGCTTTCTCCTAAATGAAGTGTAGAAGCCACATCAGGAGTTCTCTGTTCTCTACCTGTTCTCACCCACTCACCAGTGAACAAAGTTCATGTTGCTTTGAATGAGTGCTGAGTCAAGCGAACTTGAGTAGGTGAAAAAAAAAGCAAGGTGCTTTTTGGCTTACGTAAATTCTTTCTGTGTTAAAAGCAGTCAGTAAAGGAGGGGCTGAGCTGCACAGCTGCAGGGAGTTCTGCATTTCAAGGTCTGCAGACAGATTTCCTGGAGAAATCTGAAGCTTTGTAAAAGATCTTCAGAATTTTGGCTTGGTAAATCTGGCAAATCTAACTCTGTGTCCAGGCAGGTGTAAGAACAAGGCTGACAGTTTTCTCTGTTTACCAGGGAGTATGCAGTCAACGAAGTTGTGGCTGGAATTAAAGAATACTTCAATGTCATGCTGGGAACACAACTGCTGTACAAGTTTGAGAGGCCCCAGTATGCTGAAATCTTAGCAGATCATCCAGATGCTCCCATGTCTCAAGTCTACGGTGCCCCACATCTGCTGAGGCTGTTTGGTGAGTATGACATAGAGATTAAGGAGTGGTTAAGAGCATCTGAATGCTTCCTTCTCCTGTCTTGAGTCTCGGCGAGTGGGAACTGCAGAAATTGGAGAGGCAAATTCCAAAACCTGTGACTTCTTTATGTGCCTTATGTTCAGTCATGCAAGGATTTGGAATGCACGTTGTTTCTGGTTAGCTTGTGTGTGGGAATGGATTCCTGGGCTCTTTATGTATGCTAGTGTAGGTTTAGACTTGCTGTAATACTTTATAACTGAAGTGCTACTTGTTTTGAAACAGTTCGGATTGGAGCTATGCTTGCTTACACGCCTCTTGATGAGAAGAGTCTGGCTTTGCTGTTAAACTATTTGCATGACTTCTTAAAGTAAGTATTTCTCAAATCTTTCAGCAAGAGAACAATAAATGCACTACTGTGGTGTGACCTGTTCTCAGTGAGCAGGTGTGTGTGCATGCACACTGCCAGCTCACAGCATCACTGCAGCTTACCACTTCTGCTGCACTTAATTTCTTGATCAGCTTCTAGCAAAGCCTCAAGCTTCCATTTTTGTTTGTTTTGGAGAGAAGAAACGTTCTTTGTTTTCATACAAGGTTTTAATGGTCGGCTGTAGTCTGTGGAAACACTGATTTGTGAATCATTGGGGGTAACAAAGCATTAAGCTGTTTGCCAGTAAACGTCAACTTACCTCTTCCAGTAAGCTATGGAGGTCAAAAGGAAATCCTCAGCACTTCCAAAACACGCCTTGCCCTGCAGGAAGGCTGGACATGAGTTGGCCTGATCTCCAGGGCAAATTGCCTTGGAGTGATCCTGAAGTCTTAAGCTAGCAGTCGTTCTGTGGGTATGGAAGTAAAGACCAGTGCTGAAGTTCTGTCAGCTGCAGAGCTGGGAAGGTGAAGCCGGTGTGTTGACTGAGTGCACACGTGAGCAGTGCAGCGCTGCCTTGCTGTGGCTCCATCCGTGTGTGCTGACAGCTGTCCTGTCCCTGCTTCACAACCACTGGCAGGAGCTGCATTCCTGGTGTAGCAGCTGACTGAACCTCCAGTGCAAAGTGTTTCATCCTGTTAATCTTCACCTCCCTGTGCTTGCTTGGAGCCAAGAGCTCTTGACAACAGCTTGTTTGGAATTGATTTTTGGCATGAGCTGTCGGATCCTTAATTGCTTTGGACAGCTGACTCTTTCTAGCAGTTGTATGCGTCGGTTTGTGCTCCTGGAATCTCACAATGTGATTTCAATAAACATCTCATCGTTTGTGATACTGAATAACTTCTTGGGAAAGGAGCCTTAACCTTTGTGATACCTTTCCTAGGTACTTAGCAAAGAATTCCTCCGCGTTGTTCAGTGCCAGCGACTACGAAGTGGCCCCTCC